GGGTTTGGCTTTGCAAAAAAAAACGTTGCCGGGGGGGGGGGGGGGGGTGACACTATGAATACTAATGAATGGAGGAAGAAGAGCACAGAGAGCTCAGTTGTAATATACAGAGTCAGCCATTTCTATGAGGAGATGAAGAGGAAAGCTAGCAAAAAACATAAGTTTCTGTGATCATAAACAAAAGGTGGAAACAGGCTTTTTAAACAATTGTAGAAAGGTTGAATCAGTGTTAAAATAAATTGAAGGGACTTTCTGACTAATGATATCCTGGAAACTTTGCCAGTATACAAGAGATTTTTTTTGTTGCTCTTCATTTTTAAAGCCCAACTATATACAGTATTTTCTTTATGTTTGAATATAGTGTGGAAAAAAACATTTCCCTAAAGTTTTCACTTCTGTCTGCAAGCCCATTAAGGAGATTGTCTCTCACTTCCTGTCCCCCGACAGTGTTTGCAGTTGTCAACAGGACAAGATGGCACAGACCACAATAAAACCATTGCCACAGGTTCTGATCCTTCTACAGTCTACTAAAAATCTTTTTTTTTTCTTTGTTCTTGTCAGAGAGATTTCCGATCAATTCCAATCCTGACATGATGTAGAAGGAAATCCCCCCAATAAAACCTGACCAAGGTTCTCCTAAGCCCTTCCTTGCTCTATCTAAAGCTAAATTAAAAATAATTTGGCTGAAGTTGGGCTGGTGCATGAACACAGATGCATAATACTACAAGGTAAAACAAAACACCTATATATCTGCCAAATGATCTCACTGTTCGCATTGAAATACATATAAGCACAGCTAGAACAGAATAAAAATGTTTAAAAGGTTATAAAAATAAGCAGAAATGTAACAATACAGCTGCATAACCATTAATATCTAACCCATGACATTTATTGCAGTATTCTAATAGCAATGATCCTGGCTGGAATCCTAATCAGAGCAGTGTAATATCCTATACTTACCATTGCCAGGGGCTTTATCTCCACAATGGATATTCATGAGTTTATTTTTTAGGTGCAAGGTGGTTGTTTCTAGCATCTGCTGGGATATCTGGTGAACATTGGTCGTAGAATATAGTTTACTTTTAACGAGGAGGCAGAAAGCCGTGGGACTTCGGTAATCTTCTGTTTGGTTGTGAATACATCTGCAAAAGGGACACTTGTTGTTTTCGGGCAAATGCTTGACTTCACCTTTCTTTCTTCATGTCACCTAAGGCAGAAAACAAAACACACTGTAACCATGATTCACTTATTAAAGTAAAGTCACAAAACCTTTTTTTTAGTTTGTTATAATGTTGGGAGTGGTCAGGAGCTGCCAAGGGTGTGGACATTTAAAACAAAAAAAATCTACTTGTCCAAGGACTAAAGCGGGGGGCAATCTACTTGTCGTGATACCAGAAATAATTTTAACCAAAACCATATTTAAACCCCCCTAAGAAGCGCTTCTCAATTGACAATGCTTAGCAATGAGTGCTCACAATTTGCGAGTGAAATTCAAAATCCATAATGCAGGGCTACACTGGACAGCAGTGTGGGGTACAGGTAGCACACCCGTACCAGCGGAGGGGAAGGACCATCCGCTGAAAGGTAAGTATTGTTATAGAAATTTATCTCGTATTTAAATACGCTGCGCTTAAAAGCACAGTTCTCTGCTCTCCCGGGAATAATCCTGCTGAACGCGCTCAGTAAGGAAACACAGACACTCGCTGTTGTCTCTTCAGATCCTCAGTTGCTGTCCTCTTCACTTGAAGAAGACTTTTTTTATTTATAGGGGTAACACACAGGAAGTACTGGCCACAACAGCCACCACTTCCTCATAAAACAATAGAATACAGAGCCAGCCAATGAAACACATGTATACACCTGAATAGACAATAGAAAAGGGGAGGGTATGCTCATGCATGTGAAGCAACGTGCACAGTTACCAGCTGCTAGTTCATGTTTCACGTGCACATTTGTTAACAATAGATTTTTCCGCCAAAAACACTTACACAAAGGAAGCAGCATGCTTGCACATGGACGACGCCATCTTTAATCTCCCTTAACACTGGAGCGAACTTTATCCAGCATTGCTCAGTGAGCAATGCCCAATAAAGTTATTATGATGCGCATTGATGGGAGCTTATCTGCAGGGACAATGCCATACTACCTCCAGTGCGCTGATCAGACGCATCAGAAATACGTACGCACGTTCCTTTCATAAAGGCAGATATGTATCTTAAATAATACTATGTTCTCAAAGCAAATGCATACACGCCACGCCAATAAATCCGCGCACTGCGCAGGGGCCCTAGCTTGGCATCCACACACTCGCTAAGAGAACATTGCTCCGCCACGCATATCCACTTTAATGGTTTATTCCCAGTGCTGAATAATCCGGGTCACGCTCCAACCCGGACACTGAGGCATGATGACAATAATCAACTAAAAACACATCCTAGTAAAATTTCCACAACAGTATTGAGCAGATAATTCAATTTTCCCAAATTACTTACTGGCAAGCAGGCCGCGACAAGTGATCAGGGTGGCTGTAAATCCGCCCAGATCACTTGTACAAAACAAGCGTTGACTCCCTGCTCTACATTTAGTCCTGCTTGCCCGTAGCAGGGCTAAATGTAGAAAGAAAACACCTTTCCCGCGTCGGGTAATAGGAATCACACACACCTAAGCTCTGATGTTATTTTCATTTGTTCTGGGAGAGGAGCGGTCTTTTGTGAAATCAGTCTCTGGACAGTAAGGCTAGCCACAAACTGATTGATTTCTCTTATTTAGTTCCACGAACTGAACAACAGAAATCATTAGATTCCCCCTTTCATGCTAAACAGAATAGACAAATGGATCCCCATCAATGGCGTTTGTATTCACCAGCTGCTGCTCCCGTGACTGCCGAATAACCAAACACTGTCTGCATCTGACTGGAATCAGGCACTGTTCAGATAATTATTTTCCACCTGAATTCTTCCACAAAAGTTAATTGAAAAAATTTTGTTGAACCGGTTTGTGGCGACACGGCTGCTCACGGCACGAAATTTGAACATGTCAGGAATAGGCTTTAAATATGAGCTGCAGGTGGCCAGCTTAACTAAGAACAAGTACCCCACAGGGTACAGAAATATACTATTTGCCCTGCTAGGGAGATACAGTATAGGGCCTGTGTGAGCAAGCTTCTCAAATGTTTCTCTCCCAATATAACTCTATGGGAATGTGGAAGCAGGTCAACTGCAGGTTAAGTGCACCTGAAATAAATTGTGACAGATATCAAAAGCATCTAAAAAACTGATATAAAAAAATTGAAGGCTGTCAACATAGGCTCTTACTGTCCCCATTTGTCCTAGAGGTCGTTGTCACTTCAGCTGAAAGTGCATATATCTCAATCATTGTTTGTATTGGCCACCTGTTCTGCCCTGCACATCAGTGTACAGTATATACAAAGGTTGCCAATTGGAGGTGACAGAACAAAACTGACTTCATCATTGGGTGTATTTATGTATTGTTAATATTTTAAAGTCGTGGTTCCAGAAACTGGCAAAGCTAGTTAGCAAGTTCCCTTGGGCGTTATTTGCAAAGCAGCATTTCAGTAAATGTTCAGCTTTTAAATATCTATTGTGTCTGAAACCCTGGAGCTGAAATTATTCATAAGCATGCAGACTGTCAAAAAAATATGAAAATATGTGCCGTTCTGCACACGTATGAACTGGTGTTTTCTGCTGTGTTGGCAATTTCAATATAGTTTCCCATGTTTAACTTTTGATTGCAAGCATTCCTTGTGCTCCAAGAAAGCCCTTTGCTACCACAACACTCTACAGTACATTTCCATAGGTAACAGACAATCCCATAAAGCGGACCTTTACCCCCTTTGGCTAAAGCTGAGGCCTTAAGCTGAACAAGGACAAAACATGACTTGCTTTGTAAACTGTTTCCAGAATGACATTTCATCTTTGAGCCACAAAACATTTGGCACTTGCACAACACATAATAACTACCATATTACACAGAAGGAGGCGCAGCACAAGTTGTAAAAAAATGCAAGCAAACATTCTCCACTTACCAGAATTAAACTTCACATGGATTTGGGGCAATTTATGATTTCTGCCTGGAAAATGCCAGGTTATATCAGGAAGGTTATGGCCCTTCTGGTGCCAGTTACATATAAAAGGGTCATAAAAGTCTCAGACTTATCATTGCAGCAATTCTGAACAGTACTTTAATCCGTTGAATGGCTTACACATGACATGTTTTGCTTGAAAGAAAACCTCACCGAGAAAAATACAGGGATTGCCATTGCGGACATTGATCTGAAAATGATAGTTGCCTGGCTAACTGTGAAAATACTTTGTGACACTGACCAGACCTGGGATACTGATTAGGAAAGTCAGAACTCTAAAGGTGGCCATACACTTTACAACCATCGCAAGAACTTAGTCTTGCGATGGTTGTAAAGTAATTTAAAAAACGTACGCTCTGCCCATCTTGGACAGGCAGATCGTACTCTCGATCATCGCAAGCCCGCCCCCCTGTGGGGCGGGCTTCCGATGACCGCAATGCTGAACGGGCAGTGTGCGCGTGCGTGTGCGCACACCGGCCCGTTCGGCATTTGTCTCCCGAGCATCATTCAAACCAGCCGAAAATCGTACGATTTTCGGCTGGTTTTCTAGCGTGCGCCTTAGACAAAAGACGTGCGACCGTACAGTAGAAACGGTCGCACGTCTTCGTTCACACTGCTCGATTCTCGTACGATCGTGGGATTTCCCGCAATTCTCATACGAGAATCGAGCAGTGTATGGGAACCTTAAGGGTAGGTTTACACTGGCGCTGAGACTAAAACACCTATAACATTTTTAGATGTATTTCAGAGGTGTTAGAAAAGTGATTTCTGAAGCTCTCTGAATGCCTTTTTTTTTGCAGGGGAGAGGGGCAAGGAGAAGAATGAGTCTTGTCGCAGTGCTCTGAAAATGAATGCCAAACGCCAAAGGGAGCGTTCAGAACGTGTTTACAGTGCACTTCCATTGACTTGAACGGAGATATCTGGCAAGCTTTGCAAGTTGTAACCCCTGCCAAACGCAACAGGTGTTTGCGTTGTTATGTTATAAAATATATTATGTTATGTTATAAAACATTTATTCTTACCCATATTTTTGGTAAAATATAAAAAAGTCGGGGTCACGTCGGGTAAATAGACACCAAACATGTCAAGCCTTAAAATTGCACCCACCCGCAAAAGTCGCAAAAAACTACCACACTGAAAATTGCCCATATACGCTTTTACCGCTCATCAGTTTAGTGTTATCAGTAATTAATGGCTCTAAAATGATTGCTCTCACTCTGACGTTTGCGGCGATATGTAACATGTGCGGCGCAATACACGCAATTGACGTTTTCGCACGTAGGCGCACCAGACGCATATCTACGTGTGTATGTGGGGGGCGGGGGACTTAAAAACATTTTTTTATTACCTTTAGGAAGCAAACACCTGCTTCACCGGCTTCTCTCCGGTTTCTGTACCGGAGAGTGACAGAGGAATGCGGAAGTGATGTAATACACATCACTTCCTGCATTCCGAAGAGGAGGAGGAGATCAAACAGAGCTCATGTACTAAAGAATTTATTTACAACGGAGTTTAATTACAACGGACGGACAGCAGGTGGTTAAAGAATTATTTATATATTTGTCCGCTCGTCACAGACGAGCGGACAAGTGGATTTTTCAGGCCCTGTGTGTATATAACACATTTGACATCAAATTAGATTTGAAATGGCCACGGCACCTTTATTGGTTTCAATTAATATTGAATTTATGAAACAAAGCTGATAACCAAATTAAATCACCAATTAAACCAACCGTAAATTGCTCAGCCATTACTACTCGAGCAATAATATAAATAACCTGAAACCAAACAAGCCTCCTGCAAAAAGGAGTGTGAAACCACATAAGAGGAGCGGTGACAAATTACACCCCTATAAACAAAGTCTTAAAGGAGAACTATGAGGTGAGTGCTTTTCACTCACTTCATAGTTCTAGCCGACCTGTGACAATGAGACTGTCACAGGTCGGCTCAGTAGATCGGGAGGTGAGCGAACACATACAGGCGTTCGCTCACCTCTCGATCCTGTCACGGCTCTCTGCCGTGACAGGGGAGGGGCTGGATTCCCCCCTCCCCGCTCCGCCAGCGCTGACTGGTGGAACGGACGGGGGAGGGTACAGCTGGCTCTG